ATACCTTAAAATCACCAATTCTACTTCCTTTAATTCTAGAAACTACTTCGCATTGTCCTTTCTTCACTAACAGTCCACCTGTAATTACCAATGAACTCCAGTTAGGTTTAAAGTACTCTTAAGTTTCATCCTACTAGAACCCCCCTCTGACACTGCCAAATCATCGCCTCCAACTGAAAATGCTCTTCTCTTGACTTCTGTGCTAACATTTCCTGCTGGCTCATTTCCTACCACGTTTCAGTGTCTTTCCCTGTATCTTCTTCAATTTAAGTGACAATCTTCAAATGACAATTTTTGACCCTGTCTTCCCCTATCTTTGCATTCTACTTTCTTTCTGGATGATGTCATTCTCTCCTATAGCTTTAACTATACTCACTTGTTGATGACTCTTGAGACTTCGCTCCAATTCAAAATATCTAACTACATACAGGACACATACCCTGATGCTCAATTAGGATACAAATTCAGTATGTGAAGTGGAAATCTTCTGAAGTTCATGCTACAAAACAACAATAGAAGTTTCAAAAACATCCAGCTCCTGTTTTATCAGCCTCCCTCACCATTCCTTCAACTGCTGTATTTTCTCCAAGTTGGGTCAATTTCACCATTGTCATATCTATTTCCTCCTCTCTATTCTCACTGCAAAGACCTAGGAGGTAAACCCAATAGAGAAATGGATAAATACTCCACTGAGGCAAGTAACAGGATTAGAGACTCTTAAGTCCACTGTCCTTACTTTGGACAGCAAACCATAATATCCAGAGAATTCTAGTGAACCTTTCCTGAGATTGTTTTGAGCTATTTGGCTCAGTAAAACCACTTTTGTTATGTGATAGTAAGAAATTATCACATTAATTTATAGGCATTTGCTAATTCCAATGGTATATTTGTACGCTAGATATGTAACTAATACAGTTCATAGTAGTAACACTTGGCTAATACAGACCACCTTTCAAAAAAAATCCATGTATAGCAAGTAACATCCTTTTTTAAGAAAATCTGAAGTATATGAGATTTATTATACTTGAAGTGTCCAAAGAGATCATATAATTCAAACCTCTGACCTTACAGATTTAAGAACTACTACCCAGGCAGGTCAAGTGACTTGTAGAAAATCAAATAGCTAGTCACAGAGATACTAACAATCAGTTACAAAAAAACAGTGCCTCATTTGAGTAAATACAATTTACCATTAAAATGAACATTAAAAAATTATGGTATTTATAACAAAGCTAAAGAAACTTTGTTCCTTCTTTAAATATACACATACAGACATATTCTACTTTTTCTATAAAGTGAATTTTTAAAAATCTGAGGAAAAAAGCTAGTCTAAATATAGATTAAGAGGCTACAACATATCTAATACTATACAACCTGACAATTTATATGGGGAGGGGGGAACCTAACTTTTGTTTGACTACAAACAACTAATGCATTAATATTTCACTCCATTTAAAAGTCTTAGTGAACTGTCAGCTAAAACTTATTTTTTTCTAAACTCCAGTGAAGAAAAAATTGCATTATTTTGATTATGTAGCCCCTTTTAAAGCCAATCATCCCTCTTGATTTTATGTCAAGATTATTAAAAGATTCCCATGGAAACACAAGAAGAGAAGATCTCCAAAAGAGGAGAAGTTCTAAATTAATGTCTGTTATTTAAAGAAGGACATGAAACAGACTAACAACAAATACATGATTCAACTTATTCCTGGAGTTGTTTTTTCCTGATAAAGACAACATAAAGACTATCTGACATGACCACACATTCTATCAAGTGTACAAACTTAGCCCAAGAATTTAAGAATGGGGAAGCAGCTAACTCGGTTCTAAATGCCCGACTCTCTTCATTACATGCCCTTAGGGATGAGGAATAGTTTGTCTACAGCACTGCTTCTCAAAGTGTGGTCCCAGATCACATCTCCTGGAATGCTGTCATCAGAAATGTAAATTCTCAGGCCCCATCTCAGCCATACTAAATCAGACATGCCAGGAGTAGGACTCAGCATTTTGTGTTCTGATAAGTTTTCCAGGGTACTCTGATGCAGGCCACATCACCAATGACAGCTGTTAGCACTTAAGCACTTACTATATAATAAGCACT